AACATTGATAATGATGATGATAATTACGATAATAATAATCATAATAAAAGTAATGATAGTAATAATAAAAACAATAATGCAATAAAACAATAATAATAAGCCCTCAGAGCGCATACCTCCGCCAAGGCCATAGGGGTCACTATGCAAAAAATTAATCACACTTGAAGAATTACATTAAAATACCTCTTTCTCAAGTACACTTCAGACGTCCGTGTTTCCCTCTTTCGAATGCTCATGAATCCTCTAAAAAAAAAATCCTTGAATCCGAATCACCACCAACATTTAGTAGCGTCTAAGATGGTCTAAGACTCACCTCTGGTTTTTAAAAAATCGTGAAAAAATTCCTCGACAACTTTTTGAGTTATTCCGCTAACCAACTAAACCAATAAACAAACAAAAAAATAATAAACACAAAAAACAATAAACAAACAAAAAATAAATATAAAAAACCAAAAAAATAAAAAAAATAAACAAATAACAAATGAATTAATAAGAAAACAAACAAAAAAAATAAAAAAAAAAAAAAAATAAATAAAAAAAATAATTGATTCCGTATAACCACTAAATTTTAATGGCATCTAAGTTGGGTTAAGACACAACTCTACTAAAAAAATCATAGAATCTGATCATAACTTTTTTTTGTCNCCCTGAAGAGCCTGACCATTGCTGCGGCCTGACCAGTAATCGATATAGCCACCTACATTAGTCACTGCTGCCAGGTCTTCTCACCTCTGAGAGAGCAGCCACCTCAACTTTTAGCCTCCCCAGTACTCTCGATAGTGGTGGCAACTGATCATCCTGACACAAAGAACAGAGGCTCCAAGTCACCGCCATGGCGTCCTGCCTCTGGCAGTTACTCTGACATTACCCCTATATAAAAGGGTCCAGCAGACTGGACTCAACATCCACCATTCCACAAGCTTCACACTGGTTGGTAACTGCCGGAACGCAGGCAGGACAAGGAGCTCCCATTCCATCCTGTGCCCCAGCAGTCGCCTACCCAACAGGCCCACAGTCTGCCTAATTTGCTGGGTGGAGGGCCATTCCCCTCTCCCCAGCATTAACCATTTAAACATGGTGTTGTCGATGGGTTTATCTGAGGAGAGGACTGGCAAGGCCCACCTCCCACAGGGGGGCAAGGGGCAGGAGTTGGTACAGCCAGAACGTGTCCACATGCCGGTGGGCCAAGACCCTGAACCTTTGGATACTCCTGCTGCTCCGAGATCCCCAAGTTTTACCTGGGACTACAAGTTACCCAGTTTCCATGGGTGGATACAAAGGAAGCACTGCAGAAGTCTCGATGATGGAGAGGCTAAGAACTGGCAAGGTAGGCTTATACAGAACTGCTCCCCTTTTCCACGTTAGGCTAGCCAGCAGTGGCAGCTGTAAGTGAGAAGGCATGCAAACACTTAACACCACCTGGGCTACCACACCATTGTTTCACATCACCCTGAGCATAAAGCACCCACCCATATACATGTGTATATACATATATATGTAAATACATACGTATATATCTATGCTATTAATCCAATAATCTCTGTCGAAATTCCTGTAAGTCTCAGGATCTCCCACAACAATTTGTGATGCATCGAATCAAACGCCTTGAGGCCGATGTAGGCTGCGAGCAGCCCACGACCGAACTCACGACGATGTTCTAGGAAAGCACTAGGAAACGGTCTATTGTGAATTGCCAGGAGTTAATCCAGATTGCTTCAGTCTTTGGTGCCTAAGCAGGTGTTTGCGGATCCGTTTCAGAAGAATGTGGGCGAAAACCTTGCTGGTATGCAGATCAGTGTGGTGCCATGGTAGCTGCTACTGTTCCAATGATCACCTTTCCCCTTCCAGAGAGGATGACCATGCCCCTCAAAAGGTTAATGGAATTGGAACTGGACTGCCAGATGGCAGCCAGGACAGCTTTGTAATTGCATCCCTAACCTCAGTCAGGGTAGAGGGATCTTCACTGATGGGTGGGTCAGGCACAGAGAATGCGACATCCCTTGCATCTAGACTCACTGCTGGGGTCTACCTGATTCAATTGCTCAATATACTCAGCTTAACGTTCATGAACCCCAAACATTATCTGAGATGATCTGTCAATCCACTGAGCAGATCACAGACATCCATGAGGGAATGGAGCTTAGTTTCTCAGAGTTTGGTAGGCAGGACAAAGGTCATTTACTAGGAAATGCCCTTCTACTGCAGCAAGATTCCTAGCGATATCCTTTCTCAGTAGAGCTCTAGCCCTGCACACCAAGGAATGGCGCAAATCTTGATTGTTGTTCAGACAAGCCATGCGACACATATCCAGTGAAATGAAATTCTACCTTGTCCTTGAACGTTCATCAATAGATTCCTGGGCTGCATTGAGCGTTTCATACTTAAAGAAATCTATAGGATTACAGGGCCTGTGAGGTTTTCAAGCACTGTTACCCAATCAGAGATTGCTACAGTGAACTTACATGCACACTCCTCTTCCCCCAATCTAAGGAAACTCGCA